GGCTCATAACCCGGAGGTCCCTCGATCGAAACGAGGTGTTGCTATATTTTTTTGCTTTTTCAATTTTTTCTGCATAACACAACACCTACCATAGCTAATGATAGGGTGATTACCATTTTCCCTTTATGTCTGTAAATCTATGATTTGCACATGCCATTTTAGCAGTGTTCGTTACAGCTCTGTTGGCGGTGATTGAGACGTCGTGTGTATCACGAAATGGTGGGGGACTGGTAGGTCAGTGGTGTGGCTAAAGGTCAATAGCCGGCAATAGCGAGTCATAGTACGTATGGTGACAAACGTAAAAAAATACTCGAGGCTCTTGCGGGTTCGATACATTCTAGTGATAGTTTTTGATTGAGCGTGAGGGATGAAAAATGTGACAGAAAAAAATAATTATTAGCAACACCTCGTTTCGATCGAGGGACCTCCGGGTTATGAGCCCGGCGCGCTTCCGCTGCGCCATGTTGCTTGGTCCATGTTAGTTTTGGTAAAGCACAAAATATAACTTTAGCAACAAAACATCTCAACGCCACTTGTAACAACCACTCGATATCTTAGCCCATTATTAACTATCCAAACTTTATCGGTGATGATAATCAACTCTTCAGACCCTTCTGAGCACCTTACAACATGCCTAAAAATTTGCGGGTAATCTGTAACAATTCCATCAACGGTTCTTAGCGCGCTCGCATGACGCGCTACCGATTCCCGCGTAACGCTCACTGCGCGTCGCTATCCCCTCGCGAAAAATCACGTCCTCCACATCCCGCGTCGCCCCAGTACTATCCCGTCGCACCATCTTACACACCCACAGATCCAACCTCACCCTTCAACAATCATGGCCACGTCCACCGCTTCCCAAGCCCAACTCTCCCACCTTTTAAATTCCGCCGAAACTCTCTCTCAGACATCTCCTTCTATTTCAGCTCATCTACTCTCGAGATATATTGCGCTTGCAAAATCTTCGAATACTCCAAATAATGGATTAAGCGAGCTTAAAGCTTGCTATGCTTGCGGTACATTCAGGAATGGAAAACAGGAGGGGGGCAATGGGGTTGAGGTGACGGAATTAGTGGCGGAGAAAGAGAAACAGAAGCAGAAGCAGAAAACTAGGAATGGAAGGACGTGGATATGCTGGACGTGTCCTACGTGTGGAAAAGTAACAGAGGAAGACGTAGTTGTACCGGTGGTGAAAGACAGCAAAGTCAAAGGTGGAAAGGGGGTACCAATAATGACAAAAACCCCGATAGTCCCACAGGGTTCGAGTTCAAGTTTATCAGGAATAGGAAACACCCCCTCAAAACCGTTACAGACATCACAAGTAAAGGACGGAGGAGTGAAAAAGAAGCGGAAAGGAAACGCGGGCTCGTTGTCGAAGATGTTGGCAGCGAAGAAGGCGGAGGATTCGGGGTCTAAGGGGTTTAATTTGTTTGATTTGATGAAAACTACTTGAGAGATAGGGATAGAAGCTGGGGATTTTGTACAGAGATCACGGCTGAGATGGGGCTGGAACTGCCGAGAGTATTTTGCTCGGATATCATCTGGAGGGAATTGATAGGAGCGGATTGGAGTGAGTTGGGGTAAATTGCGATGGCCGAGGCGCTTCAGTCTACAGGCTGGAGAAAGACGTATCGACAGGGTGCTTTGGGAGAAAATGGGTTTACGCTAGTTAGCTATTGTCGGCTTGACTGTAAAGGAGTGTTCATGTACAATCAGATATTTCACTACATAAACACATCACCCGCAAGCCGCGTTTCCCGCGGTTGTAGGATGCATGTCCACACGTCATTACGAGTTCTCTGGCTAGCGGAAGGAAGTCGCGAGAGCAAATGAAAGTCAAAGGGATATCATGATTGCATCATAGACTGGTTGAGTGTGATGCGTCGGGGAACGGCAAGCGCGATGCAGAACGAGCTTGTTAGAATACATCATACGCTATTCCGCACGCATGCCTTGCACGCCATTGCCGCGTCTCGTCTTTTACACACCACCCGGCCATGCGCATTGGCCGCTACCTGCTATATAAGCCCCTCAGAACCCCAGTTCCACTTTCTTTCCTCCATCTGCAATGATGTGCGTTGTGCACGTTGCGGTACAGGGCGAGTACGTGTATATTGAAGAATGCAAGAGGAACAGAGGGACTGGGGGCTTTTATCAGGGGTTTGAAATACAAACGAGATCAGCCCCATTGATGTTATTTATGATGCCCCCACACACAAGGGTTTCAGAGGTGCCATTGAATAAGACAATCTGCGATGATACGTTGCGGTGTAGGGCCAAGTACATGTATACTGAAGAATGCAAGAGGAACGGAGGGACTGGGGGCTTTTAATGGGACAGTGGGATTATGAAATGTAGGAGGCTTGAATACTGAGAAACCATTTCTCTGGTTTTCAGTATTAACGAGATCAGCTCCGTTGATGTTATTTATAACGCCCCTACTCACAAGAATCTCAGAGGTGCCATTAGATAAGACAATCTGCAATGATACGTTGCGGTGCAGGGCGGGAGTACATAACGCGAATACTGAAGAAGGCAAGAGGAACGGAGCGACTGAGGGCTTTTATATCAGGGGGACGGATGGAGGAGTGGAGAAGCTTTGCCCGATACAAGGGACTTGGCCGATGGGACAGGGGGATTATTCGCCGCTCAGCGGCACCGCTTGGGGGAATGGGAGAAGCGGTGGAAGAGGTTTGCCCGACACAAGGGATTTGGCCGATGGGACAGTTGTTCGCCGCTCGAGCTTCGCCGCCGCGGTATCAATAAACGAAGAAAAAACACGAACGAGGTAGCATCGCATGTCGGCTACTTCTTGTGAAATATCTTCTACATATATATCGTTTCATTCGCTTAAATAATAGCATCGCTTGAGTAATGTATGTATGTGGCTTTTCCAGCGGTTGCGCTGTGAAACTTGAGTGACCTACGTCTTTCCTCCCTACTTACAGAGACTGCTGTCTTCCATCATCCTCTACATGCATCACTTCTGCATCCCGTGGCTCGGCTGGGAGTCAGAAACATGATTTTGCCCTCATCACAAGGCCCAATGCCTGACCCAGTAGCAAACCAACACGATATTCCTGAACTTTTTAGTAACATCGAGTACTTCACAAGCTATATTTTTATCAAAAACGTCATCATATTTCTTAACTATGAGAACTGACGTATAGGCACACACCGCGCCTGTACTTCCTTTGGCAGGCTCTTAAACGTTGACTGGGAATGTAAGGTGCTGGAATATCCCGAAGGATAATGACGACATTTATACATGTACACGCAATAGTGAGGTGCATGGATGCGTGTTCAATGCAGTTGTTGTATTGGTTAAAGAAATGTCTTATTAAACAGATGAAAGTAGCGGAAATGGTCTGGTAAATTCTATAAAAACCCTCGAACAGCTGTAGTAAATACATGAAGTTTAACGCATCCTTTTACGAGTATCCCATAGACGGATCACCGCGCACCATGGCGACCAGTGGTATTAACTGCATCACTGGAGTTCCTGTCGTATATACGAAACTAGATTCGTCAGTGATAGTCCAACCAATAATTGCAATTTAAATAAGTAGATAAAGTACATACCAGTGTCGTTTGCCATTTCATGATACTCGAAGTCGTGGCGGAACACCCGGCTTGGAATAAATACTGGAGGCAGAAGTGCAGCGAAGGGAACGGAGGCGACGTGGGTGGGAATTGGTGTGGAGAGGCCGAGGGTTAGAATAGACGTGGCAGTTGCGGCGAAGGTCGGGCCTGATGAGATTGGGTTGTTGGCTCTAGTGTTGATATTGCGGATAAGGAATGAATCCACCCAATCATCCGAGTGTAGAACTTCTGTAACGCCGTTGATGGTTCGGAAGGTTTGGCGGTAACTTGGGCCGGGGTTGGTATTGCTGTAGAGATTCACGTACGTTGTGGGGTGGTATGGTCCTAGGGAGTTCAAATCGCGGAGGTGGGGTGCGCCGAAGTAGTAGGAGTCTGCGGGGCTGTCGGTGGTGTCGGAGTTGGGGATAGACATGATGGAGAACGGTTCGGCGGAAAAAGTTGCAGTTTTTTAAACTAGTGGGACGTGACGTTGAGTGACAGTAATGGTGACAGGATAGCTGAATAAAAGGAGTCTAGAGATGATTATGGGAAGTTTGGGGAAGGTTATCTTCCTGGAGCAGACTGCAGTGCCAGAGAAAACACGAAAGAAATGTGCGGTATCCGGGGGTTTGTGTATCATCCGCCACAGAATACGTAGCAGTAAGGTTACTGATGTTGTTCCGAATCTGAAGGTAGATGTAATGATCAACGGCCACGGTTCATCAGATGTCGATGCTACTTATTCCGCGGTCTCTGTCAGCACCACGCGTCAGATGACTGGAAAAGAAACTTACCCAATGTGAAGTATCGTCGATTCGATTTCTTTATCATCTTTGATTCCGAATTCAGATTTAGCTTCGACTTCCCTCGATGAGCTTTGGGTCGCGTTGAGGACTCATGTGAGTTGATGGAGTTGACGTCCAGAACCGAGTGGTGGATCTGTTGGTGTCTGGCATGTAGGTGGTAGGAAGGTGTACAGAAGAAGAAGAAGAATGGAAGAAGGTTCAAAGGGCCAAAGGTCTCGGTCTAACCAACAAAAACCGCCCTGAATCGAATTCCATCAGCGGGAGGATGTATGTTCACATGAGATCACTCGGAGCCATCACCATAACGAGGGAGGATCTGCGATTCAATAACCGTACTACATACTAAATTCCATTTTCTAATCAACATCTTCGTACGAAACCCCCCAGCTATCTCAATAAACCAAATACCTGACCGAGAGAACCAGGAAACTAAGAGCCGAACCGGCTCCAGGGCACTCAAAGTTTCTTACGTCACTCTGTCAACATGTGGCTACAACCAAACCACTGACATCAATGTCTCTTCCGCTGCCATCAAGAACCACCCAGAACCAGCGTCTCTCCGTCACCCGCCACTGGTTTTAATTCAAATTTTAACACGCTCTTTCATCGCTTGGGTTTGTGGTTCAACGGTAGAACGCGGTCACTAAGCATGCGTTGGGGCCGAGATGTGGGTTCAAATCCTACCAAACTCAATCTTTTTTGCTCCTTTTCTCAATGTAGGCGGCTGTAAGTAGCCCATTCCCATAGCAATTCTTTACTCGCGCGATCGTCAATCACCCATGACCTGTTTGCAACTCGCCGCGCATAACTACGTGCTACCCGACGATAAGGGTTTGAAATTTACTGACTATACATATCACCGATTGATTGAAATATGTGCGACAGTCCTAATCTACATTGGTTGACGCGTTTCGCCAGAGACCGCGAAACGGATCGCGATACCCTGACATCGGTGCGGGTGATATCACATGATGGCAACAATATTGGATAGTAACCTATCGCCAAAGGCGTACTTGTGGTTTCGGAGCTTGATGTTGTACCATGCTGGTGATGTGTTTGCTATTGAATGGTAGGCTTGTCTGAGCTGGAGGTGATGACAAGAGAAGAGTGGGAGCGGAGAAGCGAGAGATTTACTATGTAAGTGGAGGTTTTTGGGTCTTGTGCTGCAACTAGATAACGTCGCGTGAGTGACGCGTTGTGCAACTCGAATGACCTGCACCATTCCTCTTTTCTCACTCTTCCATTCTTCTCCGTCTACGTGTAACACTTTTGCCACAGTAAAGAAACTGTCAACCATCATTAAGAAGCAAGCAGGGAACCGAGGACCAAAGGCGGACGAATGTGGGGGTATCAAACGGTAAACCCATGTAATTAACTTTTCTCCAATCCTCAGTACAATCAACTATATAACTTTTTATGACCCGTGCTATATTCTGGGTATCCATGGTATCCTAATTCCAAATATTCCGTCTACATCAAGCACCCATTCTTCTTGCTCGAATGGAGCTCAGATCCACCAAGCGGGAATCTCTTATTTCCAGACCTGACATAAGCCTCAACCGTCCACTCATACCACACCTTCCTCTCACTACATCTTCTCCACATCGACACCTCGACCTCCGAGTGATCCGGCAAGTAAATAGGAGTCTAAAATTTGTCAGCATCCAGATTATCGAAGAAGCGAGAGAAAATAGTCATACCTTAAGAGGGAAAAAGATCGGGAACCACGAGATCATATCGCAACTCTTCTGATCAATAGTATCAGGCCTGGTTGACAACTCCACTTTTCCGTACAAAACACTCTCAAAGTATCCAGCCAATCCGTGCACAACACCACGTCTTGGTACCTTAAAGGTAACTTTGCAGCTTCTCAAGTTGTGGTCATTTCCTCCGTCTCCAAGCCCGACGAAACCTCCACCCATCGACGCAGCTTCTCCGAGAACTCCGGCGGGTACAGGGTGTGCAAATTCCCAAGCGTTGTGGATGTAATCTTCCTCCGAGAGGGTGTCAATAGCCTGAAATAATACAACATAGGGGGTCTCAAAAGCATCGGGGTCGCTTCTTCTTGTTGCAATATCGGCGTAGATTTTGGGTGCCATAATAGGTGAGAAGTGCGCCGTGTAGCTTTGAGGGATCATGACTCCTCCCTCCGGGTTCAAGACACGTTGAACACCATCAAGACACTCTGGGGAAAGCTCGTTATCGGCGAAACTTCCGAGAAGCTCGGAGATCATGATGTCAACCATAAAAGTAGGTTTCCAGGCACGCATGTCGGTTTTAATGATTGTGACACGACCGTTCCAAACGTCCCGGTTCTTTTGGAGAAGGTGGACGTAGGCGTTGGGGTTCTTTTCCACGGCGACCATTTTGATGGTGCGGCCAGAGAGCTCGGCAGCCTTTAGGGCACGGGTGACAAGGGGGCCACGACCGGCTCCGACGACGGCTACGACAATCTCCTTTCCAACAGGCCTGTCCCTTAAGGCTAATTCGATGGCATTCTGGTACTGCTGGTATTTAACGGGGTCCTTCTCGAATACCTCGTAAGTTATGCTCTCAAGATTGTCGGCCAGGGGTTGTAATGGTGACTGGAGGTAGTCCTGGTAGCCGGATCCAAATCTCTCAACAGTGGATTGTGGGGGTTGATTCTTTTGGAGGTGGCGGAGGTAGATGAGGTACGCATCATCCTCGTGTTTTATTTTTATTGCGGCCCGGAGGAGGGGCGGGAATTCGGTTTGCTCAAGGAGAACATACGGGACTGGACGGAGTCTCATGTATTTTGTGAGCATATTCTGGTGAGCCTTCGAAAAGACCGGGAATCCCTTATTGTTGGGGCAGAAGGTAGCGTTGGAGATTAGGAGCATTCGGATTGGCTCACAAAACCACCGGCGAACAACCATCGGGTTAGGTAACCTCTGTGGGATTTGTAGTGCTACACAAACATGAGTTAGATTTGTTTTAACGTTGTTTTAATTATGTTTCAAAATGATAGAGCATACCAACTGCTAGCTGGCCGCTGTATTTGCACACAGTTCGGATGGTGTTCCATGCGTCCCAAGCAGAGTAAGGCTCATACAGAGGGCTCTCAGCAGGAGCAGACTCATCTCCAATCCAATCATGAATGGGAAGCTGGATGAGTAGCTGCATGTATGTAGAGTGTGACAGGGCAGCGCTGATCGCCTGTGCATATTCCGCAGTTTGTTCCCGGTTCCTTGGTCCTGGAATAACAACCTGATTGAGACCGCAAAAGGCGGCGTATGCAAGTTCTAAATCCAATACTTGCTTAGAAACATGCGCGATCAATGGGTCGGCGGATTCAAGTTCAATCCAGGAGGAGGCGAATCCAATAACACTGATCATATAGTGACCAGGATGCATGTTGACCTCATCGGCAATTAAGGGTTCAATGTGGATGTGCGTTCGCTGTTCAGATCTGGCCTGCGCAATGGCATCTTCGACACGCTTGTGGAAGCTTGAGTTTGTAATGCAGCCGCTGATCATGTCATACTAAAATGATGGCCGCAGTTAGCATTGATTCTACGGTGACAGGTGACATAGGTGGAGGGAGATCGGAGCTATTGCTGGTGGTGCGATAGCTCTGGTATGGTGAAGCATAGTGTAGTGAGGAGAGGGCTTACGCCGGCATTTAACTCGTCATCGACCAAGCCGCCATCGACTTGAACTTCAGGGTCTGAGATGCTGTGTCCCACAAGCCACATGGGCACATGTTGTTGTTCTCGCGCTTCGACGTCCATGACTAGATATTTCCAGGTACCGGTATGACGTGTGTAGTAGAGTTGAGTGCGCTTTGCGGATTGAGTAGCACGTGCAGAAACGTGCCAATGCGGGATGAAACGGTGTTTGCTCTTCGAACTCCCTTTCTTGGCGCTCCAATTGCTTTGGCGGAACGCAATTGATTGATTGCGATGGAGTGAGGAGAACTTGAGCTCACAACTATCTCATGGAGGGGTAAGGTGTTTGTTGAGCCGTTTGTTAGTAACCCGTAAGAGAACCCTGCCCGTCGCCTTGACAAGGTGCGGCGGGGGTGGGGCGGCTTCGCGTGGCTTGGCATCGCATCGTTGTCAAACAGCCGCAACGCGTCGAACCAAACTTCACCCAAACATGTCCCGCACAACACCACCATCCTCCACCCAACTGTCCCTGCTGCTTCGACAAACCTTCGAATCTCGACTTTCCGACACCGTCGACGCGTCCCTCCAACCTCGACTCCTGATCATGGACCATAAGACTCGTCCCGCGCGGACACAACAGAACAAGCCGACCACCTTCCCCACAGTCGACATCACTGGCGAGACTCCCCGTCTCGGTGAAATTCTGAGGCGTAGATGTGTCACGGCCACTTCCCGGTCTTTGTCACCGATGGGAAACGAGTCCGCTTGACCTTCTCATGCTCCGCTTTCTCCAGTTTTGTCGGAACTTAACCCTAAGTTTACAGTCGCATGTCGCGCAGCTGCTCCGCTAGTCAAGTCGACTTCCAGATCCACACCTAAAGGCGTGTTTCTCGTCGTTCCGCTTGATGGAGGTGGCCCTCGGTGCTTTTCAGCACAGTTTGCGAAGGATATCCTGCGGGGTATGTGGTGTGGGCCGTGACTGAGGGGGAACAGTATGTGTTGTTGACGGCTGAACCACTCTGGTAAAATGGAGTTGTGTTTCATTCCCGTTAGGCAATCTGGTTTGGGGATCGACTTTCGTGGGCACGACTTTTCCTTCCAAACGGATTGCACGTTGCTTTCTTCAATGCTGAGAAGGGCACTCGTCGGTACGGTGATTTTACATCACCCAGCGAACCTTCTTTTCTTTCTTAAGGAATGGCCACAAACAGAAGCACGAGTATATCACTCATGGAAAGTCGTCACGCCCCGGGGAAGTTCTATCAACTCATTCTCGGATCCCTTCAATAGCCTGCTGTTTTCCCCTCCTTCAAGGAGATCTTAACTTGATCGATGCCCACCCCCTTTGCCTAGACGGTATCTCTGATTCCGTCCAGCTCTCTTGGAGAGAAACTGCCAACCTGCACTAATCACTCGCACCTTGGTGCTTGTGAGCATCGACCCCAGCCAATCTTTCCGGATCCCCAATCGGGTTGAAATGGAACAGGGCGGCAAACCTTATTCTTTTACACGGCTTTTCTGGATGGCATATTTGTCTGTGCCCCCTTCGTTTACGTTGGGGAGGAAACAAAAACATTCCTGAAGGTTAGGCGATTACAAACAGAGTCTTTAATGTGTCTATGGTCATGAGGTAAACGAGGAGAGGTTCACGAAGATGGTGAAAGTCGAGTGAGAAGGTGAGTCGCCGTCTCAAACTTTTGGAGAGGATCATGGGTTGCAGGCTGCTTGGACCCCTGACGCCTCGACTCTTCTACTCACTAGAATTATTCACTGTATGTCACTGCGGGGGGCTTATTTCAGATATGAAGTCGAGTACATCGGCAACTTGGTTGAGAGTTTTGTACTCGTCTGGTGTATTCTTCTGAGCATCTCGAACGGGCTAACCGCCGTGGCATCGGCAAAATAATATGAGGATGCGACTAGATCTGTCAGTTGATGGGGCGCACAAGCCGTTGCCTTACCGTTGTGCATGACGCTGGAGTTAGGGGGAGGAAGGAGGGACAGCTGTTCCTAAACCGAACCAGCTTCCCTCCTTTACATTTTTTTTTATAAGTTTCCCCTTT